GGGATAGAAGCCTGCTCTCACGAGCCGTGGGCTCTAGCGGTTAGGCCACGCTGCCTCGTTTTGCTGCTACGCGTGGGGCGAAGCGGGCGTGGCTGACTTGCGGGTGGATTTCTAGGCGGCCTGCGGAAGCGGGCCCCTCCTGTCCCGGGCACGCGGGGGGTCAGCGCAGTGAGGCAGCAGGGAAGGCAATAGGAGGGGAGGTGTCTACCCATCCCCCTCACTACCTGATCAGGGCACAGCTCTAGGGGAGAGCCCAGTGAAGGGATCCGTCTCCCCCCCACGCCCCATACCTTGAAGATCCCAATCCAGTCGCGGGCAGACGGCTTCATGCTGGGGGGCAGGGTGTAGTGGCACTCGACCTTGGTGTTAGGTTGAGGAAGGCCATGGTAGGGTGGGACGGCGCCTGCAGCTTGCTGGGAGGTACCACCTCCATCCTCTTCCACGGGGTGAAAGGCAAAGAAGGAAGGACAGTCAGTATCCCCATCCTCCCCCTTCCTACGAGATTACGATACGTTGGGTACCGAGTCTGACTCGGGACAGAGCATTTGAAAACTCATAATTTGCTGAACATTATTGTCCTGGGGAAGCGCGTCTGGCCACACGGTAGGCAACGTTTTACCACGTGACACTGCAGAGGTAGGATTCCAAGCTTAGAAAGGCAGCCTCCCCACGCTCTGGGGCTCCTGGATGCACAGCCGAGGTTTCCAGTGGGGGCTTTGGGTCTCCTCCCCTAGCCTTGGGATTTCAGGCTCCAGCTGCCCAGGGCCTTCCCAGCCATCCCCCCCTCCCACCTCTGCAGCCTCCCCTGCCCAGGGTTTAACTGTCCACGCTCGTTCGGATCACCGGGCACTGCTGGCTCGCTAGCAACACCTCACGATGCTTTGCATGCGGGTTTGTGCCCACTGCCTTGTACCTAAGTATTTCAGGAAAAATGGGGAGAGTAGCCACCAGCAAGACTTGGTGGCCACAGTCCGAGGCTTCCCACTAGTTCCTGGGGGCTACCACGCTACGGAAATAGAAACTGCACCGCTCGTTCGGATCACCGGGCACTGCTGGCTCGCTAGCAACACCTCACGATGCTTTGCATGCGGGTTTGTGCCCACTGCCTTGTACCTAAGTATTTCAGGAAAAATGGGGAGAGTAGCCACCAGCAAGACTTGGTGGCCACAGTCCGAGGCTTCCCACTAGTTCCTGGGGGCTACCACGCTACGGAAATAGAAACTGCACCCGGCTTCTTCACTACAACCCCCGGGCGTTCCCGGAGGGCTCCCCTCCAGCCACTGAATGGGGCCCATGCTGATTAGCTTGCAAAACACAGCTGGGACGGACCCACTGTGCTCTCCACAGCAGCTGTGATCAACTCTGGAGCTAGACCAGCAAAGTGTCTGGTAACCCCATGGCCAGGAGGAGCAGCGCCCAAGGGGTTCGCTGGACGGCCCATGGAGGTGAGCCACGCTCCCCAATTTCCCATGGCTGAGCCAAAGTCCTCACCAGCGGATCCCACGTAACGGACGTGCCCTGGAACTTGGGGCCTTCCCTGCTCTCTGGGCCCGTCACTGGCGCCCGTGGGCAGCGACTGCCCCCAGCGAGTGCGGCCGCACGAGCAGCGCCTGCCCCTGCTCTCCCGGTGCAGCAAGACCTGGGCTGCAGATCTGCCGGGAGACAGCGTGGCCTAGTGCACACAGGGCGGAACTAGCACTCGGACCTGGTGCCAGCTCACGCCTGGCTTTGCTGGGTGACCCTGTGTTAGTCACTTCTGCTCTGTGCCTCAGTTTCCCCATCTGTAACACGGGGTAATGGCACTGCCCTGCTCTGGAAAGCACGGTCAGACCCACTGGTGTGAAGAGGCAGGTCTGCCACTGGCTCCTCCCAAAGGCACTTCCTCGGACTGAAACTGAATCTGAGCATCTCTGGGTCGGCAGGGCAGCCCAGGGCCCAGAGCGAGGATTAAGGACACCCGGCTTCTACCTAGCTCGGCTGCATGACCGTGAGCAAGTCCCTTACCCACCTGGTGCCTCAGTTTCCCCTCCCACCCTCTGCCCTGTTCTAAGCTCTCTGGAGCAACAACTGTCCTTTCAATGGGATAGCCCTTCCCACAACTGGGCATTGATCTCAGCGGGGGCCTTCGTTCCAAAAGGCTCAGTTCCGCGACCGGGTCAAACACAAGAGCTACGTGGCCGCGAGGGGGGCTCGTGGCCAGATGAGCACAAGGAGCTGGAGGGGCGCGTGTTTTCACTTCGGTCCACACCAGCCCCGGCCACCCCGGGCTGCCAGGGCCCGGGGAGGGATCCCCGGTGCTGGCCCAGGGCAGGCCGGGCGCACCAGACTTGTGCAAGGCCGGGTCCCACCGGGCAGCGGGCGACACAAGGAAAAGGACCCGCAGGTTTCGGGAAACCATCCCCCCTTTGCGGCCTCCTCGCCGAGGATAAAAGGCTTTGAAAGTCAAACGGCTCCAGCTCAGAGCAACAAAGGAAACTCGTGCTCGGAAGCCCCAAGCGGCAGGCAGGCTGGGGAAGGAAACGGCAGGGGGGAGGGGTCCCTTCATGGGGGGCACCGTCCCGATGCACCAGCCCCAGGGGCGCGCACACGCAGGCAGGGGAGAGATTCTCTGCTCTTGGAGCCCGCAGGGGGTTAATCTCCTGATGGGGACAGGGCCAAAGAGCAGAGGCAGCCGGGGGGATGGGGGTGCAGCAGAGGGAGAGCTGGTTCTGGAGGGGATTTGGGGGGTGTCAGGTGGGGGGTCCGTCTCCTGGGCTGCCCGATGCACCAGCCCCAGGGGCGCGCACACGCAGGCAGGGGAGAGATTCTCTGCTCTTGGAGCCCGCAGGGGGTTAATCTCCTGATGGGGACAGGGCCAAAGAGCAGAGGCAGCCGGGGGGATGGGGGTGCAGCAGAGGGAGAGCTGGTTCTGGAGGGGATTTGGGGGGTGTCAGGTGGGGGGTCCGTCTCCTGGGCTGCCCCCTCCCAGAGGGTGGGGGGGCCCACCTGCAGCTCCCCGAGGCCTCGAAGCCCAGGCCAGGGGGCGGCTGGAGCCCA